TCTTGGGACCTCTCCTATTTCTTATATACATCAATGATCTGCCTAATGTCTCTTAACATTCTGAAACCTATTTTGTTTGCTGATAATACTACTCTCATCTACTCTAACCCCAACCCACATACACTAAATAATGTTGTTAATAATGAACTAAAAAAAAGTCCACTTATGGATGTCAACCAATAAACTAACACTTAACATAGAAAAGACCTACTACATCGTATTTGGAAGCAAATCTACAAATGCAATTCAGCTTCAGATAGACAATGTAAACATTAGCAATAAAAATGATGGAAAGTTTCTTGGCCTATTCCTAGACAAGAGACTCAACTTCAGCACCCACATACAACACATAACTAAGAAAGTCTCTAAAACAGTTGGTATACTCTCCAAAATCAGATATGATGTACCTAACTCTGCTCTCATCTCTCTATATTATGCACTAATCTATCCCTATCTTAATTATGGTATCTGTGCATGGGGGTTCAACCACTTCAAACCACCTCAAGTACATCACCACCCAACAAAAATCTGCTATCAGAATAATAACAAATTCTGCTTTCAGACAACACTCAGCCCCCTTGTTTAACTCCCTATACATACTAAACATAATCTCACTCCACAAATTCTCTTGTGTCAACTACATTTACAAAACCCTGTTCTTAAATGCAAATCCTGGTCTGAAACTCTCCCTGGACAGATGTAATAGGACCCATTATCACCACACCAGAAATAAATATATCTTTGATATCCCCAGAGTCAAACTTAATCTGTGTAAATACACTATGCAAATAAAGGGACCCAGTCTATGGAACTCACTCCCTAATGAATTGAAAAGCTGTCCAACTTTTGCGTCATTCAAAAACAAAATTAAAAAGTACCTAATTTCATCTTCATAGTTTTTTACCTTGTTGCTTTAAAATTGCACTGTATCTATTGCTACCCAATCTCCCAATCTTTATGTACCCAATCCGAACATCTTTACCATTGTGATCATTGCTGTCTACTTATATGTACTATCAATCTGCTGTATGGTGTCTATTAATCTTGTTTAAATTACCAATCAAGCTGTCAATGTAATCAATCAGAGCTTTAATATACAAATGTGCTTTAATATACTTACTAATCTCTCTCATCTCATTTTTTTCTTGCAATATATCTGTTATCATTTTATTAATTCTGCTAGAATTTAACTACTTAAAATTATCTGTTAGATTAAGGACCTGCCCGAAATGCTGCGCGTACTAGTGGCTTTACAAGATTGTAAATACTATGCTATGTATTCTCACAAACCCAATGTACCTTCTTGTATATAAATAAATAAATAAATAAATAAATAAATAAATCCATTAATAAAAAACATGACCTTGAGAAGTAGTATAGGTTAGGAATCGTCTCCAAAGAATTTTCAAAGAATTACTCTTCATTGCTATCTAAAATAATTAGAAGAGCCAAAACTAAATACTATGAAGATAAATTTACCCAAACAAAGGGCAACATTAAGAAAACATGGAGCACAATTTCACAAATATTGGGATCAAAGAAGATTTTAAATAACAAACCAATACTCCTGTCCAATAACGATGGTCAGCTTACAGCCTCTGATACTGCTATTGAGTTCAATAGGTTCTTCTCTTCCATTGGGTAATCCCTTGCAAATGATATTCCATCTTTCAATACTGATGTTCAGGACTATCTTACAGGTAACTATCCACAGTCTCTGTACCTAATGCCTGCAAATTCCACTGATGTTAATGAGATAATCCTTTCCTTTAAAACCAAGTCTAGTGCCCTTGAGGAGATACCAACTTTAATTTACAAAAAAGCCTCCAGATCTTTAGCTCCTGCCATTGCATTGCTCTTCAACAAGTCACTTGAACTCCAAAACTTTCCAGATATTCTAAAAAAAGCGAGAGTAACCCCTATCCACAAATGTGGTGATCTCACTAATGTTAACAACTACAGACCTATATCAATCCTGCCAAACTTGTCAAAAATATTTGAAAAACTAATCTACAAGCAGCTCTACTCTTATCTAGCCAAACACAGTATACTTAGCTCTTGTCAATATGGCTTCAGACCAAAAAAAAAAAGCACTAACGATGCACTTATTAGTATGATTAACTTGATACATGCAGCTCTTGATAAAAATGAGTTCCCTGTTGGGTTATTTGTGGACCTGCATAAAGCTTTTGACACTGTCAACCACCAAAACCTTCTTCATAAATTACTTCATTATGGAGTCAGAGGTCACTCCCTGCAATACCTCAAATCTTACCTTACTGACAGGCTCCAGTATGTTTCTGTGAATAATTCAATTTCTCCCACCCTACCCATCAACACTGGTGTTCCTCAGGGCAGCATACTTGGCCCTCTCCTCTTTCATCTACATTAATGACCTTCCATATGCCTCCCAACACCTCAAACCAATTCTATTTGCTGACGACACAACCTTCATTTACTCCAGTCCTTAAGTCCAGAACACCAAGCTCAGCTACCTGGCCAGAAGACAGCTGTACCGCATGAAGAACATGTATGTCCCAGACCCCGAAGATCCCTACGTTGCAGAAAACACCACCAGCGACTACGAGATCCACGAACCACCACACAGAACCAGAAGAATCAATCTCCAACAAAAAGTGATCAGACACATCCATGATGAGGCCTTCCCAAGACAACCCAGATGAGTGGCCCATCCCAGACCCGATCTATACGAAATGAAGAATAAAGAAAAAAAAATAAAGAAATAAAAAAAAAGAAAAAATAAATAAATAAATAAATAAATAAAACTCCTACAAAAAAATATAAAACCAAAAGACCCTTTGTCGTGGCATCAGAAGTGTAACTACCCTGATGTTGCTAAGATTAACCTCCTTCAGCCAACTCCATCGGCTCTAGTGCTTTAGGACACCAACAAGGTCACAAACACTAGCCCCCCCAGCCAATGTACTGACAACCCAACATAACACATACGCAAACAAACAACACATACACAAATGTCAACCCATGGTGGACAGGCCACCGAACTTTCAAACCTCCTCTCTCTCTACACCCGCATCCTCTTCCTGAATTTCATCTCCCCATCCCTCTACCTCCCCCATCCTTTCCAATCCCTATGGACATTAAAGCTAAAGCACGAAAGTGACAAGCATGAGCACCAAGCATCGGCTCCTGGAGACAAACACGAAGCGGTGAGAACTACATGGTTAGAAGTTGGAGTTCATAGAAGTTGGCATAAAAACCACGAATATTCCATTGAAGAACAGACAGACAAAAGAGAGAACAGAAACAAACACAACAAGGGAGGAACAAAGGCAAAGAAGAACACAATAGCCTAAGAAAGATCAGGATCAGTGAAATCGGGGTGATGGGGCATAGGCAAAGCAAGAAAAGACAATGGAGTCAAGGGAGCGGAAGGACAGACCAGAAGCGGACTGAGGGTCTGGAGCAGGAGGCATCGGAGAGGGGTAGTCAAGGGAATCAAGAGCAGCAACCAAGAGAGAATCAAGGTCCAAGGAAATCTCCATAGCAGGGACAGGTGATTCCAACACTGAAATTGGAGGGGACGCAGGGATAGTGTCAGAAGGTGAGGAATATATTGATGCCGTCTTACCTGCCGAGGAGGAAGGAGAGGAGCCAGGTTTATGTTTCTGATGTAGAAAGAAAGGCGTACCATCAGCAATGTTCTGGGCGCCAGCCTCTACAGCCTCATCAGAAGGAGAATGGGAACAGTCAACATGAAGAATACCGGGAGGAGAATGGACAATTGGACAATGACCTGGACAGACAGGCAGTGAGGAGGGCCAAAAGACAGAGGGAAGGGCCGAGAAGAAGGATTGGGGCGAGGAGGAAAAGAGGGCACAGGAGATAAGGAAGCTTGCGAAAGAAGGAAACACCAGATGGAGAACCAGAAGGAATACCCTCTAGCCCAGAATGCAAAGGAGTAGGTGAGGTGGTGGTGTAGGTCTCGGGGTCCAAGGCCTGGAAACAGTTGTGAAACTAAGAAAGAGGGAGAGGATGAGAAGTGGAATGCAACACATGAGTGTAAGACATGACAGAGAAAGTGAGAGGATGGCGAACCTGGCGTCTCGCCTCAGGAAAAGATAATCAATCGCGATGTTTCAAATTGAGGATGGCTTCCTCAAATTTGTAGTTCACACATGCACAGGAGAAGGCAGGGTGGGCATCACTGCAATTGATGCAGTGAGCTTGGGAAGAAGAGCACTCCATCTTAGAATGACTCGAGGCTCCACACAAGGGGCATAGACACACCTCATTTGTGCACCTGAAGGGACCATGCCCAAATCTCCAGCTCCTGCTGCAGAGGCGAAGAGAGGGAATGTACTCCTGAACGGAGAATCTGGCACCAGCAAGACCAATGGAAGATGGAAGGGACCTACTATCAAAAGTGACCTTCACAACACAAAGAGGATGATTAGGAGAACTATTTACATTAATTGCATTCTTTATGGTTAGTTAGCTCAGAGAGCCACTAAGGGGATCCTTCCAGAGTGAGCATTGTATGTAATGTAATGCCTCTTTCTAGGAGAACCCCGATGGCTCCCTAAATCCCTCTCTCCCTCACTCCTAGGTTTATTGGTTTGTTGTCCATCAGCTCCAGTATTTGGTGTGTTGAAAGTATGAGCCAGGGCTCTTGGCTGCCTGGTAGCAACTATCATACTAGAGTGGATCACTTTAATTGCCTGAATAATTTTGGAGAGTCATTAGACTATTTTGGTGCTTAGTTTTCAATGAACCTTGTAGTTGTCTGCAAGGCTATGCAGTTTCTAAATCCTTTCCCAGATTGGGTGACTATAATAAGTTTAAAGTTCTCTGCGCCTCTGTGAGGGGGTGCCGTGCTTTGGTTCTGATACCCAGTAGGCCTAACAGGACTTCTGTGATTGATGTAGCTCCCCAAATGCATTGTGGCCTTCCAAAGCTACCTGCTCTATTACACTTCTACAGCATTCATCGAAAACAGAACATATCTCAAGATATCATACCTTTAGAGTTGATAGTAGTTTTGACTTATCACGTGAAAGAAACTGAAGAATTCTTGGTAATAAGGTTGCTGGATAAATAATGAAACTTCGAAGAATCTCTCCATCACTACCATATACAGCTTTGCAACCATACCTGAAGAAACAATATCAGTACAAAATAAATAAGTAAATAAATAAATTAAATAAATTAAATAAATTAAATAAATTAAATAAATAAATAAATAAATAAGAGCCAGAGCAATCGACCGTTTGCTATTACAACAGCCTTTGAACTGTGGAGAGATGCCGTCCTGGAGGTCTGCGACCACCGTGTCCCCCTCCCGGGGAGGGAGGGGTTGCGCAGATGGATGCGCTGCGGTTGTGGTGAACGTTGTGTTTGTTTTCTTGTTTTTGATTGGGGAGGTCTGTTTGCTAGTTCGGCTTTCGGTTTGCAATTTTTGACCAGCAGTAGTTTGTTTTGAAATTCCTACCTTTCTGGGTGCCTGACCTGGTATATGGCAGAAAAAGACTGCTTCCAATTACACGGGGGTGTCTTTAGGCCATTGCTCCTCGTGCCTCTCTTGAGGGAGCCCGTTCCTGGTTCTGGTCCCCATTAGGCTTAGAACTCCTTCGATTGACTGTTGCCACGGTCTAATATATACACATCAGTCCGGTATAGCTCCGGGAAGCCGAAGGGGCTCTCCACAGTAAAAGTTATGAATAAAAAAAATGATAGTGATAAAATTTTTAAAATGTCACCAATTGGTATTTTATTCATTATGGTCTCAGAATGGCATACAACATTCATGTTCTATTTTGCAAAATATTGTTTGAGAGTACAGTTCACTGTAAAACATTTTTTCAATGTGGCTATCCAAATATGTGCCAAATGTATACGCAAAAACTGACAATCCCTGACGACTGCCAGTAAATAAGTGTTATCGTTATTATCAGTACCAGTTACCGCCCGTCACTCACGCATTTATTTTATACAAAAATCGTACAAAATCTATGTCTTAACATAATGGCATGAAATTTTCACAATGCTGATGCCAAATAACATGAGATTTGTTTAAAAATTTTCACTATTTTTCAAATTTGGAAAAGTCTCTATAGTCACCGGGCCCTTTAAACAGACAAACAACACTAGATGCGAGTTCAGAGGGTAGCGGATTTCTATTTTTTAAATAGCTTCCAATGGTGTTAATGTTAGTAAACACAAACTAAAAACTAATTTGTAGATATGTCTAAGAATATGCCTAAGTTCCTTTTAAATGTAATAACTCACTGTACCTAAATATGGATATTTGACATACTGTATGTCTTTAGGGACTGTAGGAACCTCGATAGTAGGCTTAAATTTGACAGTTAAGAATCTACCCAGAATTCTATCGAGTATCTTGCTAGAAAGTATCTTGCGGGAAGCCGGTCGGCCGAGCGGACAGCACGCTGGACTTGTGATCCTGTGGTCCTGGGTTCGATCCCAGGCGCCGGCGAGAAACAATGGGCAGAGTTTCTTTCACCCTATGCCCCTGTTACCTAGCAGTAAAATAGGTACCTGGGTTTTAGTCAGCTGTCACAGGCTGCTTCCTGGGGGTGGAGGCCCTGGTCGAGGATCGGTCCGCGGGGACACTAAAAAAAAAAAAAGCCCCGAAATCATCTCAAGATAACCTCAAGATAGGAAATTTGTTCGAAATAAAAAATTCTTGATATTGAAGTTAAGTTTCTTCAACTAATTTGTAATCTGAACAGAGATTTAAGGCTCTATTTATTAGAGATTTAATTGTATTCAGTTTGTATAGTTTTGGACAAACCTAAGGTCAAGATAAACCCACTTCTGTGAATGGGTTTACAGTAAACTGGTGTAACAAACTCACCTCCAGTATTAGTAACTAATGTATCAAGGAATACAGTTTTGGAATTATTCTCAATTTCCAAAGTAAATGTTAAGTTTGAATGTTTAGAATTCAAATACATAACAAAACTTTCAATATGTGAACAATCATTAGAGATAAGAAAGGAGTTTTCTACCTAACACTAAAAAATTGGCTTGAACTCTGCAGGACAAATATCTATCCACATTTTTTCAAAATTACATAAAAAACATTAGCATAAGATGGCCCCAATGCTGACCCCATTGTTATTTGTGTAAAAAATTATATTCTCATAGATATATCACATTATTGTGATTTCCTTCAGTAAAATGAGTCATGCTTATTAGTCAAAATTGACAGAACATTGACTGTTCTGGACCTGGATTCACGAAGCAGTTACGCAAGTACTTACGAACATGTACATCTTTCCTCAATCTTTGACGGCACTGGTTATATTCATTAAACATTTTACAAGCATGAAAACTTCCCAATCAACTGCTGTTATTGTTATAAACAGCCTCCTGGTGCTTCGGAGTTCATTAACTGTTTAATAATTGTAAACAAAGCCGCCAAAGATTGAGAAAAGATGTACAAGTTCATAAGTGCTTGCGTAACTGCTTCGTGAATCCAAGTCCTGGTCATTAGGTTATCTTGAGATGATTTCGGGGCTTTAGTGTCCCCGCGGCCCAGTCCTCGACCAGGCCTCCACCCCAGGAAGCAGCCCGTGACAGCTGACTAACACCCAGGTACCTCTTTTACTGCTAGATAACAGGGGCATAGGGTGAAAGAAACTCTGCCCATTGTTTCTCACCAGCGCCTGGGATCGAACCCAGGATCACAAGTCCAGCGTGCTGTCCGTTCGGCCGACCGGCTTCCAAACACACTGTAGGTACAACAAACACACCCACATATCCATTCCTATCTTTTACACTTACTCAATAAGCTGTTGGTACACATTTGCATGGGAATCCTTTCCAAGGATAACTGATGGGAAGTCCATTATCTTTTCCTGGAGTAAGGAGTGGACATCCAAGTTCAACAGCTGGGATACCTCTGCACTTATGACAAATAACTTCCCATTTAACTCAATTACATGAAGCATCATACTTGCTGATGGTGCTACCCGTTTTATCACACACTGGTACTTTTGATAATCTTTTGTTGATTTCAGGTTCTCCATTATTACATCATCATCGTCGTCATCTCTGAAAATTAAAACAAATTATAAACAGCACATTAAACAAATATTCTAAGACATAAATGTTATGAAATGATACTGCTAGCAAGTATTACAAGCCCACATATTAACAGGAAATATTCATAACCTCACACTTATGTCTGGTTATATGGGATGAGGTTATTAACCTCATCCCATCAGGGGCCTGACAGCTGAGTGGACAGCACTCAGGATTCATAGGCCTAAGGTTCCAGGTTCGAACCACGGCGGAGGCGGAAACAATTGGGCAGAGTTTCTTTCACCCTGATGCTCCTGTTCACCTAGCAGTAAACAGGTACCTGGGAGTTAAACAGCTGCTACGGGTTGCTTCCTGGGAGGAGGTGTAACAAAAAGGAGGCCTGGTTGAGGACCTGGCCGCGGGGACGCTAAGCCCCGAAATCACGTCAAGATAACCTAAAATTTCACCAATACATAACTGGAGGTCACTATTTGTAATAAAAACAACTTAATAACTGGAAAATAAATTTTGATAAAGAATAATTAATAAAATAAATTGGTAAACTTGAGTAGATAATTGTTGGAGGCATTTAAAAGTGGCAGGATTGTTCAAAGTCCAGGTTCAAGTCCTCAAACCCCCTAGGATTTATGTAATGCCTTCTCTTTTATGATCCTAACTACAGAATTCAGGCATTTAAAGTAAATCTTTTGTGTAACAATTTCCACTATTTACTAAATCCCATTAACCCTTCAGCTGTGCATCCCCCATTAGGTAATTGGGTGGGTAATTATGCAAAGACTGTGCATCCCATCAGGTGGAGTATAAGGGTACATTTAAAGATTTAAAAAAATCCCACGGGCACACAGGGCTCACATCGGCTTTCTCAGGCCTCCAGTAAACCGATGCCATTAAAAAAAACAGCATTGAATGTAATGAAACGCCATTTTCTGGGTGAGCTCCGGAGGCTCCCTGGAGCTTATCGGGCCAATGTATGTTATGTTAGACCGGGACATTAGCTATAGAGTTCAGACCTACCAGGGACCAGCGCCAGAATCTGGCCCCTTCAGAGAGGTTTCAGAGAGCAATGGCCCTGGAAAACCCCATTATGGTTGGGGGTTTTCCTTATCTGTCATCGACCGGGGTTAGGCACCCAGAAAGGTAGGCATAACAAAACAAACCCCACATGGTAAGAAATTACAACAAAAAACCGAACAGAAGGGTACAAACTCTCTACAATCCCAAGGAAACAATCAAACAATCAATTTACTGCTGCGACGGTCGTCCGTGCAGCCCTCCCCTCCCCGGAAGGGGGAAGGGGGGTCCCTGGACCTCACCGCGCCGGCTGCCTTCAGTTCGTAAACTAAGCTTCAACCAACGCGAAAAAACCCTGCCGACCGAATGGGAGGGAGGGTAGCCAGGGAGCCTCCAGGGCTCACCCAGAAAATGGCGTTTCATTACATTCAACGCTGGTTTTCTGTGGGGAGCCCCTACGGCTCCCTGGAGCTACATACCCAAAGAGAAGGAAATAGGGACTTACCCGGGAGGCGGCGGCCACAAACTCCTCAACGCGAAGTCGAGACAACTGGCTGCAACCTGCTACCCAAAGCAACACAAGAACGCCGAGGAGCAGGGACGTTCACCAAACAACGGGCAGCCAGGACCCTGTTCGACTTCCAAAATCCACACTCTCGAATATGTGCCCAAGACATGTTACCAAACACGGCAGCCAAAGCTGCAAACTTCCGAACGTCATGGGTGCGAGGATAGACCGCAGGCTGGCTGGACTTAATAACCCTGCGGACAACCTGGGAGACCCGAGCCCTGGAACAGGGAACGAGGGAAACCGGATCAACTAAAAGCGCATCCCCAGCCACCCCAGCTGAAGCGCGCAGGTAACGGCGAAGTGCTGCAACCGGACACAACACATGATGCACCCCCGGCCGAACTAACCAAGCATCAATGACCCATGGGCCTCTCCGGAAAGCAGCTGTCTCGTTCTTCGCCAGAAAAGATGGAGAAGACTGCAAACGGACAAACCTACCCCAGGACCAAAAGAGCAAAACCCCTGCGCCGGAGGTGAGCATGAAGCTCCTCTACCCGGCCCCCAGAGGCCAATGCCAACAAAAAAAAAAGCTTTGGAAAAACAATCCGGAACCGAAGGGGCCACCACAAGCCGAGGAGAGGAAAGATAGGAGAGCACCCTGTCCAAGGACCAGGATGGCTCAGGAGGCGCATGAGCAGGCCGGAGGTGAAACATAGCACGGGAAGCTTATAAAATGGGACGGATGTGACGTCCACCCCGAACGCTAGCTTGAACAGCTCCGCCAGCGCCACATGATACGAGGCGACAGTATTAGGCATCAAATGACGGTCCTGAAAAAGCCAAGAAAGGACAAGACAACCCGATCCGAAAGAAAAGACAACCTACATAGAGCCAGAAAATGGCGAAAAGAATGCCAGGAAACTTCATACTGTCGCCAAGACGAAGCTCTCAGGTAGGACACCATCAACGAAGCCACCTGATCACCATAGAATTGGTGATACAGCCATGTCAAAAAGACCAGACGCGAAGAGCAGAGGAGAAGGTCGAACCAGCCTTGTAACGGATCGGGCTGACCTGCTGAAAGAGGCGGAGTCACGGGAAACGTCCCGGGTTCGGGCACCGAGCCAATAGCACCGGAAACCAAGGCTGGGCCCGGGACACCTTCTCCCGCGAACAGGGAAGAACGGAATCGGATCAACCAAAAGCGCGCCCAGGACACAGAAGCCGCGGCACGCAAATAGCAGCGGAGGGCCGTAACTGAACGCAAAACACGACGCATCCCTGGCCCGACCAACCAAGTACCAACAAACCAAGAACAAGCCCTAGAAAGGACCGGAGGGAAGCCGCACCGGCAGACGACAGGCGATCCACTAATATGGGAAGGAGCAAAAATCATCCTGAACCTTCGAGAAGACGGAAGCAAGCACAAACGATAAAGGCACCGAAAAACCCAGTCGCACCCGAGACTGAAAGGCATGCAGAACCCCAAGAAGAGGGGAACATGACGGGGAAGTCCTGTCCTAAGTTAAAAGGGGTGAACAACGGAGAAAAGCACCCACCGACAGAACGGAACCAACGGGCGTAAGGGACAGCTTTTGGTAGTAATTTTCACTGGAATAGGGGTTTACTTTGGGATGCTTACCTTTCTGGGTGTTTGACCCGGTCGATAGCAGACATAGAATGCTTCCAATCACACAGGGGTTTCTATAGGCCATTGCTACCCTTGCCTCTCTGAGGGGGGGCCAGGTTCTGGCCATGGTCCCCGGTAGGCCCTAAGAACTCCATACACATGACTGATGCCAAAGTCTGACATTAGCATATCAGCCTGGTATAGCTCCGGGGAGCCAACGGGGCTCCCCCCAGAAATGCTGGAAAAGAAAAACAAAAACCCCGAAGATACACAGCAAACTGCAGTCAGAGAAACATCGGCCACAGAATTATAGTACTGTACTGTAAAGTGAACTGCGCTAGCCGCAGTACACCCCTCACAGCCAGTAACACTCCCCTACCCGGGGCAAAATGGAAAGCCCCAGACCCCGACATACCCCAAGGGCGAAAACGTCAAACGACGAAGTACCCCAAATGGGGAGTGATTCCCGAATGCCCCCAGGAAAGATGATCCCAACAAGCAAGGGCAATACGTTCGGAGTACCTAAGCAATGTCATCCTAGGCACATGCTGCTCCTGTACTCTAAGATACCTGGCCACCAACACCACACACAGCAGGAACAGCCACACATGGCAAAAATTCCTGGGGGAGGGAAGGGGAGGCCCACTAACGATTGAGAGTGGTAGTTGGATAAAGTGTTGCTTGTTTGTTTTCTTTCTATGGGAATTCTCTTGCTCTTTTCAGACGGCGGTCGCAATTTTTACCAGATTGTGGTCTGTTTTATTTTGCCTATCTTATTGAGTACCCTCCACAGTCAACGGCAATTATGACATACATGTACTTTAAATGTAGAGTGCTCATAGGTCATTGCTCCCTGCGCCTCTGAGGGGAACAGGTTCTGGCTTGTGGTTCCCGGTAGGCAAAATGACTCCTGTGACTGATGACCCAAAACTAATATAGCACATCAGTTTGGATAGCTTCAGAGAACCAACGGGGCTCCTCACAGAAAAACATAAAAAAATAATAAACATTAAAATAAATATGTAAAAAATTTACTTGTGGCAACTCCCGCCTGATATCTAGCTTGGTACAACCACCATGAGGCAATTGCTCAATGAGTGTACACAAATAGTTAAGACGCCCTACCTTGCAATGATTTCGAGGTTCAACGTCCCAGAGGCTTGGTCGAGGACCAGGCCTCCTCAGACAACACTTTCAGACTTCATCATGGCCAAAGTTACATACAATTTTTTCATTATATTTCTTGTGACCAGGGAGTGCATTTTGACAATATTAGAAGGTAAATTTTTTATTTTATGTGCACCTGGATGTTGCATCAGTAGCACAGTCCAGGGGTTAATAATATACAACAATATAACAAGTGGTACAATATAATTAATGGCAATACAATACAAAATAGAACTTACTCATCACTGTAGAATATGTCATCTATCCCAGTTGAAAGTATAGGAGGGTCAATACTTGTTGTCACACTAGTCTGTAATCCCATGGATGCAACAGTTTGACTGTTGTAAGGTACCAACCTAACACTCACTGAAGGTTCTCTCACTTCGTGTGTAACTTGCAGGTTTGTAGGCACAGGACCAAATCCAGGTGGAGGTGCAACTGATGAAAATTTTCTTGCCTCAGTAACTTGAGTGGAAGTTTTGGACATAATTTCCAGTTGTTGTATTGTGTTTTGGAAACACTTGGGCACTTCCGTATGAATTAAGTTGATTTTCTGGGGAGCCTCTAAATTACAATATTGAACATTATTATACATCAGGAAATTATTTGTGCTGAAACTTGATTTAAATGGTGCATTTATGACAAGTAACAACAAATATATTATAAGAATGATTATTGTCTGAAGCTACGGCTACGCCTACTTAGATGGCATAGTTTATCAATGTTGCATTTTTGAACTAAAACAAATTCAGGTACAGTATTTAGTATTACAAAAATATAATACCTGAAGTTGATAGTTGTGGTGGTGGTGATGCAGGTGTGGCTGTGCATGAAAAGGGTATCTGAGAAGGCTCCCACATATCAGGCCTGGATGACTTCAAGTTTAGATCATTCATTAAGCGACAGAGATTTTCAATAAAGGCAGCTGTCCCGTAAGGAGAAGACTGTGTTACAGTTGGATACTTACTTTTGACATTCTGTTCATAATCCAGTGAAATATGGCTCGACTCCGATGATGGGCAACTTGGTACATTCTTATGTTTATCATGAACTAAATCTATATTGGCTATTTGGTCACCATGAGGATTAGATACGGCACTCTGTGTGAAAGTATCTCTCAAAGACACTACTGGAGTCAAATTTATGGAAATACTTGAATTTTCTACAGGATTTAGGGTGTTTATCACTGGATCAGTGCACTGAACAATTAGCTTTTCAGAGCTGCTGTAACTAGCTTTAGTAACACTTGAGTCTGGCTGACCTAATACATCTATAGAGGCAGGATGACTGGGAGATGCCCAACCCTCTGCAATAAGAATATCCCCAATGTTTATGTCTTCCTGACTATTAGTGTCCCATAGATTCATATATGCAGCACCCTGAAAAAAAAACGTTGAATGTAATGAAACGCCATTTCCTGTGTGAGTCCCGGAGACTCCCAGAAGCTATGCAGGCTGAATGGATATGTATAACTTTCTGGTATCAAAGTGCATGGCGTTCTTGCCTACTGGGGACCATGAGCCAGAACCTGGACCCCTCAGAGAGGCACGAGGAGCAATGGCCTATAAAAAAAAAACCATGTTGTTGGGAGCATTCTATGTCTGCCATCGAAAGGGACAGGCACCTAAAATGCAACAGGGTGCATGGTGCAACAGGGTGCACAACAGGCACCCGAAAACAAACCCTTATTCTGGTGAAAATATTGCTACCAATTACCAAACAAGTGGACAGAACTCCCCAAACAATATTAGCTAACTAGCATGACGTTATCATGTCGCCACGCCACTGTCTGCGCACCCCTCTCCCCCTCCCGGGGAAGAGGAGCCGGGGAGCCTTCTGGACTCACCCAGAAAATGGCGTTTCATTACATTCAACACTGGTTTTCTAGGGGAAGCCCCTTTGGCTCCCAGGAGCTACCTCACCAAAGATAAGAAAAAAAGAGGGACGGAACCGGGAGGCAGACACTAAGTGCCCAACCCAAAAATAAAACCACAGGTCAAACCAAAGGACCCTGCCAACGACCCAGGAGACCCCAACCCCTGAACAGGAAGGAAAGGAGTCCAGGCAAACCAAAATGCGCACACGGCCCCAGAGGCCACGACGTGCAGAAAACAGCGAAGAGCCGCAACCAAACAACACACGAAGCACCCCCGGCCCGACCGATCAAGCCACAACCCAAGGACTCCTCCAGAAAACAGCAGACCCAAACTTAACCTGAGAAGAAAAGGAACTGCAGCAAACGAAAAACCGACCACGAAGACCAAACCAACAGAAAAACACACCAGAATCGAAGGGGCTACGACAACCGAGGAGAAGAGGAGAAACACCCCGGGCCAACGCCCAGGACGGGGCACCGGCAGTGCATAAGCAGGCCGGAGGTGAAAAAACAAACCAGACAGCTAGTAGAATGTAGCAGAAAGTACAGCAACACCAAATGCAAGCTGGAGCAGTCCCGCAAGCGCCACCTGAAACAAGGCAAAAGCATGCTGCACCCATGGACGGTCCCGGAACAACCCGGAAAGGAATGACAAGACAACCCTATCAGAGACCGTAATACACCTACACAGTGATAGGAAAAACCGGAAGAACCGCCAGGAACTACACACTGGCACCGAGACAAAGCACGTAGGTGGGAGACCAACAACGAAGCCACCAGCGCCCACACAAGAGATGAGAACACAAGATGAAAAACCCCGAGCCGAAGACCCAAGGGGAAGAACGAACCAGCCGGGTACAGGGCGGGACCAAACCGCAGAAAGAGGCGGAGCCGCAAGAAGACCCCAGGATTGGACACCGAACAAAGAAGCTTCCCCAACCACGGCCGGCAAAGAACCAAAAGGAACAGCCGCCAGGCAACAGGAAGAGGCCAACAAGGAAATGAGGACCACGAATTGAAGCGTGAAGCAAAAAAAAAAAAGCAACCTCGCAGCCTGCAGGAGCAGCGCAAACGGCTCCAGCAGGGAAGAAGGATGCACCGTTGATATGTCACCGAGGTATATATGAGAACTACTCATGACATGTACTGCACGAAAATAAAATAAACGGCCCTGAAAGGAAAACAAAAGCAGTAGCGAGGATCAGAATCCTAGCCCCACCTGCCTCAACGTAAAGAAATCGTAGGGGCAGAAGAGGAGGAACGGAAGCAACCCCTCACCCGCAGACAGTGCAAGCACTCTCGGACACCACATACAAAAGACCAAACCCGGAATATGTGGCCCCAGCATGGAGCCCGTACCCCGGAGGAAAAAGTGCAGAGGCACACCACGAGACGAGCCCCAGAGCTAAGAGGCCAGGGTGGCAAGGACGGGCTGCGGGAATGCAACTCATGACACGAAGACAGAAGAGGAAGGGGAGACTAGAACACTACCCAAAAACTGAGAGGAACTGACAGGGTAGATAAAGATAAACAGGGTAACACGTGCAGTACGCAAAGAAGGGGACACAGCTGGAAACCGAGTACCCAAATGAGCCACAGGGACATGAGAAAGAACCCAGCCAGTGTCAGAGCAGGTAACAGATGGAAAGCCTGAGCCAGCGATGTGGTGGAGGCAGACACCAGACACAGCGCCAAATGTAAAGATGAAAGAGAATCATAGAATCATAAAATCCAGAACACCCCCAGCAGCTGGGGGCAATGACTGGAGAGAGAAGACAAGTGAGAAGCCGGAATACCAACATGTGTACACTTCCCAAAAACAAAACGATCACCCCGGCACCTGCGCCCGAGGTACGAACCGCACCACCCACCTTCCTGGCGGCGCGCATCGTACACCAGTCAGATGTACACACGCCAGCAAGGAGCATGCAACAAATACGAGGCATATGTCGAGACAGGAAGGAGAGACGAAGGGAATACAAAATCAGGCGAAACTATAATCTAAAGAAAACAAGTAGTACGGAAGAGGACCAACGAGTCCGAAAAAGGACCAGAGGAAAGCCTCACCCGAAGTCAACAGACGTTCCCATAATAACGGAAGCATCGAAGAGTGTTGCGAACCCCCGAGAACTTGAGGAGCAAGCACAAAGTCACGGAGGCACATACAGGCCCAAAGATACCCCTGAACAAGGGACATGCAGGGAACCCGATACGAAGGGAACAGTAACGTGACATAACCGTGAAAAACTGAGGAAAAGGAGTGAAATCCTAGGAATGACGGAACCGACGCACCCAAAAGGACATGGAACCAAACCTGGGGAGGGGTAGACCCGAAAACAACATGAACGCAGAGGGGGAAGGAATAACCCCCCCTTCCCCCCGAGGAACTGCCAGCCCCATTCCGAGGGTACAAAAAACCCGAAGCGGGGCCAAACGGGGCTAACGCCCCCAGGCAACCCCTCCCCAACCCCAGGAACCTCCACAGCAGGACCCGGAGCCGGGCCATCCCCGAGGCCCCGGTCTTACAAGAAAAAGCCGGGGCCGCCGTAAAACACTAAGGAAGGGAGCCCACTGGTCGTATGCTACAGCACAGCTAGAGGAACAGGCTCGAAGGCCTCCGCCACCACCCCGGAAGAGGAAAACCCCCGAGGCCGCCCAAGTCTCAACCCAACTAGACGCTGCCCCAACTCCGAAACTGGCCGACGGTCTGGAGCCGGAAGCAAAGGAAAGGAAGTATGCACAACCGAGGGGGAAGAACTAGGAGGAGCAGACGAAACCAAAGCCAGAGCGACTCCCAACCCCAAAGGACTCCAACAACCAAAACGGGACAGTCTTGGGGCATCCGGGGCTGCAATGAACCAAGTGCGTAGCAGCAACTTAAACCGAGCATGCAACGTGGCTGCTGCCTGCACCCACAGAACAGTATCAGAGGCCTGGGTGAACTGGAGTACGAACAGACAACAAACATCGCACGACTCTGGGTCAAGGAATCCCCGACACAACAGGCAGCATGGCGGAGGCAGAACCGGTGAGCGTCACCCTGAGACAAGAGGAAAGAGCAACCTTCAACCTCGTAGGACACGAGGGGGAACTCGGGTCACATCCATCGGCCCGCTTAGCCCCCACGGGGTTTCCCAGAGCCCTTAGCCTTGGTGTCACACTAAGGGAAGCCCAGGCAGGGTGCAGGGTACTGCGAACTGGCCCCCAAGTTTATCAAACAAACCTCTATAAGCTGAACCCCCGGGACGTGTCCACTCATGGGGGGTCTAGCAGAGATGCCACCAAAACAAAAGAACACACAGAACCCAACCAGCAAAGGGAAGAAAGGGAGACCCTCCCATCAGGCAGAAAAACAAAACAAAAGAAAAACCCCGCAAGAGGACAACATACCCGGGCGGAACAGAGCCGGCCGCTTTAACGTTAGAAGACTAGCTGTGCAGTACCCTGCGCAGCTAGTCTTCTAACCGTACCAGTGACGACAACTACCCCTACCCAGGGACACACCAGGGGAAGAAAACCCCAGCCGGCCCCAAGGGTGGAAAGTACCAACCGAGCAGTAAAAGGCACCACGGAGGCAGACCCCAAGGTGACTTGCGGAAGGTGGCCCCAAGCCCCAAGGGCAATACTTACTGGGCACCTAGGGAAGGTAGTCCTAGGAGCATGCAGCCCGAGTACCTCAGAATATTACTCCCAGCTCACACACCCCCTGGAGAGAGAGCCCACGCCACCAGACACTGGTCTGAGACAAAGAATTCTTGAGCCAGAGGCACTTGACTACACCAGACACCCATCGGCCAAGAACTGATAGTTGGATCCCTGGCGTGGAGGGTCTGGGGCTCCCCTCCCCCCTCCTGGGGAGAGGGATGTTGCGCAGACGGCAGCGAGGTGACGCGATGACGTCATCCTAGTTAGCTAATTTTGTTTGGGGAGTTCTGTCCACTCATTCGGCTTTTGGTAGCAATATTTTCACCAGAATAGGGGTTTGTTTTAGGGCGCCTACCTTTCTGGGTGCCTGTCCCTTTCGTTGGCAGACATAGACTGCTCCCAACAACACGGGGGGTTTCTGTAGGCCATTGCTCCTCGTGCCTCTCTGAGGGGTCCAGGTTCTGGCTCTGGTCCCCAGTAGGCCTAGAACTCCATAGATGTACTGTTGCCACGATCTAATACATGCACATCAGCCTAGTATAGCTCCGGGGAGCCAAAGGGGCTCACCACAGAAAGAATGGAAATTTACATAAATTACAGTACTGCACTGTATATATATATATGATACAAATTTATCAAAATCTTACCTTCAAGGAAACAATATGCCCTATGACTGCTTTGTTCTGCACCAACTCCAGAAACCTTTGTGAGGCTTCTCGGCCCCATGATTTTCTTCCATGTGAGGGAATCACATCACTTAAAACTGCCTGGGAAGTTTTAATAAGTATAATAAACAAACTATCAGTGGCTGCTCAAACCTTGCCAGAAATCACAATTTGGTTGCAAGAAAATACAATAGTATAATAAGTCCATAGGTTATACCACAGCTATACCACAGAAAATACAATAGTATAATAAGTCCATAGGTTATACCACAGCACATTTTATATTAAGGAATTACTACTGCCTTGGTGATAGGCAAAATAACCTCCCCCCCCCCCCCCCTGTCAAAATCAGAGCCTTATTACATGAGCTACATGTTCAGAGTTTCATCCAGGCTAGCCAACCCATGACTTATGATGAAAGTTTCATAACATGTGCAAATTTCTAGAAATTCATGTTACATTTAGCCTTCAAGTCTTATATTTAGAACCGAATGAACTATCTATTATTTTCCTTCTTTGCCAATATGTACATGTCAAATCTCAGCAATGTATTATTAAATTGATATCTTGAAACAAAACCTTTATGACCTACCAAATGCCATGCAAAATCTGAAGCCAAAACTATTTACTAATTGCACAACCTTTATTTTCTCACACACCAAGAGGGTAGGAAGAAATAAATTTGTTCCCAATAAAATTAACAGTATATATTGTACTAAAAAAACAGCATTGAATGAAATGAAACGTAAATTTCTGGGCGAGCCCCGGAGGCGCCCAGGAGCTATCGGGCTAATATGCAATACATTAGACCAGGGCAATAGTCAATGGAGTTCACAGCCTACCGGGGGTCCACAAGCCAGAACCTGAGCCCCTCATACACACACAGGGAGCAATAGTCCTGGAAAGCCCACTGTGGTTGGGCAAAGGTTTTCCTTATTTGCTATGGACCAGGGTTAGGCACCCAGAAAGGTAGGCACAACAAAACAGATCCCACATGGTAAGAAAATTGCAACCAAAAACTGAACAAAAAGGTAGCCCCTCGGCTACCCAACCTCAGTGTGGAGGCTAAGCATCAAAAATAATATAAAACTGCCAACCGGAGGGAGGGAGGGTGCAAGGAAGCCTCCAGGGCTCACCCAGAAAATGCCATTTCATTACATTCAACGCTGGTGTTCTGTGGAAAGCCTCACCAGCTCCCTGGAGCTACATAACCAAAGATAAGGAAAAGAGGGATTTACCAGGGAGGCGACCACCACACACTCCTCAACTCCAATCAACCTGCAACCCAAAGCCACACACACGAACGCCCAGAACCAGGAATGTTGACCAAATAACGAGCAGCCAGGATCCTGCTCAACCTCCAAAATTCTCATGCCCAAATATCAGCCCAAGACACGTTGCCAAATATGGCATCCAAAGCAGCAAACTGCCAAACATCATGGGCAAGAGGATAGAACTCAGGCTAGCTAGACTTAATAACTTTGCAGACAACCTGGGAGACCCCGAGCCCTGGAACAGGGAACAAGGGAAACCGGATCAACACAGAGCGTATCCCTGGTCACAGAAGCCGAGGTGCATAGGTAATGCCGAAGAGCCACCACCGGACACAACACATGATGCACCCCCGGCCTACCAACCAAGCATCAATGACCCAAGGACCCTACCGGAAAGCAGCTCTCTCATTCTTTGCCAGAAAAGAAGGCCACAACTAAACAAATTGATTACCAGGACCAAAAGAGCAGAAACCCCTGCACCGGAGAACATGAATCTCACCAACCCAACCCCCAGAGGCCAATGCCAACAGAAAGAGAGCCTTGGAATGTCTCGTCGCTGGAGGAGACAACCTGAAACGCCCACGAATCGTGGAACCAGGCGTGACCAGAGCGTGCCTCCCCCCTCCCCACAGGGCACCCACAAAATGGCTGACGCTCCTTATGAGAAGCCAGCTGACAAGCAGGGCGATCATTGCGTTGACCAGATGACGCCGGCTCCAAAGGAAGTGCCGGTTCAAAAACTGGCATCAACGGGCCACCCCAAACTGTGGAACCCCGAGCTCTGACACGACTCTTCCGAGAAGGCCGAGAACGGCCACCCCGGAGAACCAAGAAGTCCAACATAAGACGACACCTAGACAAAGTTGCCTACAGAAACTACATGACAGCAGTCTCTGCAAATAGCAACAGACAAAAAGGCAACAAAAACCGAAGAGCCAAGGCCCAAACAGATTCCAAGGAGAAGAACAGCCTACTGGCACACGAGGTGAGAAGCAAAGAACAGACACCCCGCCTCTCTGAGAATCGGTGCAAACAACTTCAACAGTGCAATCGACACCCTAGCCAAAGAGGCCAGCGCCGCAGAAGAAGGCCTGGCACCCAACACTCCCACACCCTCCTAAAGCAAGTCCAAGGACAGCTCGAGAAGGAAAAAGAAGAGCAAGACCGAAGCCAAATATCCACAGGCGCGCAAGTCCTCAGCAACCAAAGACGCCAAAAGGGTGGGAACCTGCACATGCAGCTGTACAAGACCAACATCCCAAGGAAGCACAGGGGTGAACAAGCACGCAGTAAGACGCTCGAGGTTGCCCCCCCCCCCAGGTAAACCTGCAGAACAGAAGAAGTTTCTCGGCATTCAAGTATAATTACCTAAGTGTAGTAACAGGATAAGAGCTACGCTCATGGTGTCCCGTCTCCAATGTGCAGGTCTGACAGAACCCAAGCCATGCCCTCAACGAAAAGAATGGACAGTCTGCCAGCCAGGAAAACTCCAGAACCTCACCATGCACCCAATACAGGGAAGAAGAACCAAACTCAAACGAGGAAGGATCCATAACAGAGGAAGAATCTGGGTCTCGCAGGAGGTATGCAGCAAGTGCCTCCTGAATCTTCTCAGGTGACATCCAAGAAGCAGAAAATCTCCAGAAGAAAGGAGCCGAGGAACCCAAGGGATCCTGGAACCGAACCTGGGGAGGAGCCGAACCCAAATCATACTCACACAGGAAAGGGGGGCTAAGAAAACCCCTTACCCTTGCAACTACAAGCCCTGCAAAGAGAGCACTAACATCCAAGCGGTGTCAAAGGGGGCCCAAGCTCCCCCAGGTCAACTCCTCCCCAGCCCCGGGATCCCCAAAGTTGGGACCCGGGACAGAGCAATTCTCCATACCCTCTACCCCTGAAGAAAAGGCTGAGTCCAGGGAAAAGGCAGAAAAGGGGAGCCTGCTGGTGGAGCCCAGAAGCCTCGGCAGGAGGAACTGGCTTAAATGCCTCCGTTCCCAACCCGAAAGGGGCAGCCCCCGAAGCTGCCAGTCTCGTTACCAACTAAACCCCACTCTGACTCTGAAACCCTCAGACGTTTGGGAGCCAGAAGCATGGAGGGGGGGAGGCAGGACGAACAACAGGAAGGACCAGAGAGCATGGACTGAACCAAAGTCGAAATGACTAATGTCCCCAATTCCGGGTCCTTATAACCAAAATGGGGCAGCCTTAGGGCATCCAGGTGGGCAACCAACCTAGCGCGTTGTAGCAACCTAAACCTAGCATGCAACGCAAATGTCGCCTGTACCTTAATCTCAATGTTATCAGAATGGGTAAATAGGAGAACAAGCAAAGAGCATTTTTTGCAAGACTCCGGGTCAAAAGTGTCGGTAACCCAACAGGAACCATGATGGTGGCAAAAATGGTGACTGTCACCCTGAGACAGTGGCACATAGCAACCTTCAAACTCACATGAGGCGAGCTGGAACTTGGAAGATGCATCCATAGGTCCACCGAGCCCCCTAACAGGGTTTTCCAGGCCTGGTAGGTAAACTGCTACGGAATGCCCAGGCAAGGTGTTGCTAACCAGTTAGACCCAAGCTAACACGGGAAAGATCAATACACTGAAACCTCTGCAACATGTACAATCACAGGAGCCTAGTGGATCACCACCAAAATATTATAAGTAGTCCTATAGCCACACCAGGCAGACAAAACAAAAAGTAAAAGAAAAACCCCACAAAAGTACAATATCCAGAGGAAACAGGAATCGGCCACTGCATAGGTAAACTGGCTGCACAACACCTTGATGCCCCAACCAGCAACAATACCACTTTCTATCCAAGGCCAAACAAGGGCCATAAAACCCCAGCTGGTCCCAAAGGCAGAGTAAATACCGAGCAGCAAAAACCCCTACAGAAATGGCGTCCCAAAAACACCAGGGAAGATAACCCTGACACCCAAAGGTAGTGCTCACAGGGCACTTGGGGAAGACTGCCCTAAGTGCATGCAGCCCTGGTTCACTTCAGGTACACCTGGCCACAACACCACAAACAGCAGAGGACACCACTAAGGTAAAACACTGCCAGGAAACCAAAGCCAGAGTTGACGACCACCCCGGAGTGCATTAGCCAACGAACTGAGGTTGGGTAGCAGGCTCAGAGTCCAGGGGGTGGAGGGGGAAGGTGAGGGTTGGGGCTGTGCATACACAATGGCATTATGTGACATTTACTTGTTTCTTTGGGAATTGGTTTTCAGTTGCAATTTTCTTACCATGTGTGGTCTGTTTTGTTATGCCTACCTTCCTGGTGGGGTTAGGCACCTTCCTGGGTGCCAAACCCCAGTCAATTGCAGATAAGAAAAATCCCAACCACAGAGAGGTTTTCCAGGGCCATTGCTCCCTGCACCTCTCTGAGAGGGCCAGGTTCTGGCTCATGGTCCCTGGTAGGCTGAACTCCATTGACTATTGCCCTGGTCTAATGTATTGCATATTAGCCCGATAGCTCCAGGAAGCTGGAGGGGCTCCCCACAGAAAAGGGAGCCATATATATTAATGAAAACGAGAAATCTCAAAATGAAAATATTTAGTTCACTAACGCTGATGGTCATCATACAAATTTGGGTACTAAATCAACACTGTGCTATACTGTCAAAGTACCCTACAGTACATTGGACAGACAAGTTCATAAATTAATATAATAAAAAAATCTCTCACCTTCATAGCCTGGGCTGGGAGTGTGAAGAATTTCTTGTGAACTAAACGCAGACATGAATAGTCACACTGACAAACAGTACCATAGTCCACAAAGAACAGCTGAAATGTAACAACTGAAAAATTACATTCACCATTTATAAATGCTAACATGTATATTTATGTACATCATTGTATTGAACTTAATATCTCTATAAATTGACTATTTTCAATATCCAGCACTTATATTTATACCAACAATAATTTACAGCTGGGTTACCATGCATAAACATTCCATCTTTTCCAGAGAATCCACTCCTACTTTAGTTCTCATACTTATAACCTCAAATGAATAACCCAATTCTTGACTAAATAAGGGTCCATACCTGGAGCATACCTGGAGAGAGTTTTGGGAGTTCTTCGACTCCCCAAACCCGCCTGAGGCCAGGCTCAATTTGTGATATTTTGGTCCAACAGGCTGTTGCTTGGAGTAGCCCACAGGCTCTCATATCCACTAGAGCCTGGTTAATCCAGCACTTCTTGCAAGAACTTGTCCAAGTGCCTCTTGAATACATCCACCTTCATTCCGGCAATATTTCTAATGCTACCTGGTAGGGTGTTGAACAGCCGTGGACCTCTGATGTTCAGTGTTCACTGATTGTGCCTATGGCACGTCTATTCCTCACTGGTTCTATTCTGCATTTCCTTCCATACCTTTTGCTCCAGTATGTTGTTATTCTACTGTGCAAGTTTGGGACCAGGCCCTCCAGTATTTTACATGTACTGTATACGTGTGTCCATGTATGCATATCCATGGTCTAGTACCGACCTAAACAACACTTTCATTTCATATGAATCAACTGGGTTATTTGTTTTTAGCCATGTTATTCTGACTATTCTATGCATTTTAATTACTCTATAGCTCCTAATTATTGTACCTTTCTATCACCAAAAACAATTTATTTTGTTTTCCCTCCTCTTGTCATATATTACTCTGCAGGTAAAAGAAAGGGACTTAGGACTTATGATTCATCACTCACTGAAAGTTGCTCAGCAAGTAGGGGCTGTAGGGAAAAACTAACCTTTGACCTTAAGTAATAGAAAGTGGTTATTCCACAGAAACATCTATTTTTATTACTCATAAGGTAATAAACCCATGGAATTGCCAACTCACAGAAGCTGTTAATGCCAAGACAGTACTGTTCTCCAGTTAAAAATTCAGCAAGAAATTTGTTTCAGAAATAATGGCGAGACCATTGATAAGCTACCAGCTTATCAATGGAGGCAGAGTTAGATGCAATAGCCACTAGCATACAGCTAACAATAATTATTCCCCATCAGCAAACCTCACAATGAGAAGCCCAAGTAACACAGCAATAAAGCAATGAATGGTCCCTACAGAACAATCATTCAAGGGATAGCCACCACCACTTAGGTGAAAGTATAGAGCTGAAGGCAAACCCAGTCAGAGTTGCATTCAAATACTTACCAGGTTAGTGAATGAGATGGGAAGGTGGCCAATACCCTGAGTGACCTGGGGACAGATTCACGAAGCATTTACGCAAGTACTTACGAACGTGTACAGCTTTCCTCAATCTTTGATGGCTTTGGTTACATTTATTACAGTTTACAAGCATGAAAACTTCTCAATCAACTGTTGTTATTGTTATAAAGAGGCTCTTTGTGCTTCGGAGCTCATTAACTGTTTAATAATTGTAAACAAAGCCGCCAAAGATTGAGAACAGATGGTCAGGTTCATAAGTGCTTGCGTAACTGCTTCGCAAATCAGGACCCTGGGCTGCCATCTGGTGGCAGTTGGACACATCACAGTTAGGGTATCCTCCCACTACTCCCTAGTTTATTCAAATTTTACTATTTTCATATTTTGTCCTATACTTTTCTAGTGGGATTTCTCAGTTTTAGGTTCGGCTCTGATTCCTAGACGCCCCTCGCCTGTGAGTCTCTGGTCCTGACTCCCAGTAGGTCAGTATGGATACCAGCGGCCCAGTTAATTACCTTAGCCTTGATAGTTAAGTTCTCAAGTTCATGGAAATACTGAAGGGGCTGCCTCAGAAAAATAAATTTAGGAAAACAAATGCTGAATGTTCAAATGTTTGTAAACTTATACATAATGAGTTATGCCACACAATCAGCAATGCGTATACTGTACCAATTTCTTTGAAACAATACTCATGATCATTCAATTTCCCAATATTTTTGACAGAATCCATAGATGTAGCCCAATAAATAAATTGGCTAACAAAACAAAAATGTATAAAGATTTTATGCACCAGTGAATGGTGCCCTCTGAGGTGCAACGTTTAGGCACCAGCCTGTGATATAAGGGTGGACCACTCTATATCTATCTATAACTTTTATAAATAAATAAATAAATAAAATAAATAAATAAATAAAATAAATAAAATAAATAAAATAAATAAAATAAATAAAATAAATAAAATAAATAAAAAAAATAAATAAATAAATAAATAAATAAATAAATAAATAAATAAATAAAAACTCCCATGGGATATTTGCAACCAAGATTAGTATTCCTTCATATTATGAAATGAGAAATTTTGGTGCAGCTTTGTTTATTCATTTTCAAAATTTATCAAGGTCTTTTTCCTGACTGATACAATGGTCATAAGAGCTGCCACCAGGTAGTTACATGACCTAATAAGTCTACCAAAATGAATCTTTCTTGCATCAAGAAGTTTTACAATTTTTAAGCTGATTTATGAAGACATCCGAGGCATGTTGTATACTCACTGAAGATGACTGTAGAAATTTATTAAATAGGCTAAATCATATTGATGATAAAATACCTTAACAGTTCGAAGGTCTTCCAGTGACACAATAAATGCCCTATAGAAATTCATGTCTTCCTCGTGAAGAGCAATGACCGGAGCACGAATGGTCACCTTTTCCTCTGGAATAACATAGCGTTCTCCAAGGCGACTGCTGTAGAACTCGCTGTGGAATATAAAATGCACAAGTGTAATTTTATCATTAAAACTGAGAAACAAACTATAGCACCATGCTTCTATTTCAAACCAGATCTGGTCTGATCAAATGAGGGAAGTATTCAGTCTCCTATCTTAGTAAAACTCACCTTGCTAATACTATTACTCATCATCTTCCAATCCTCCTCCTCTTCTCCCTATTTTTCTTTAACAGACTGTTATTGATTTAGATAACCAAGCTTGCTCACTTTCACTACCTTAGTTTTCTCACACTTGTTTTAGCTAGCATAGTTTACTAACTCTCAATAATAAGACTAGAGTTCTACAAGCAGGATTTTCCATTGAATTAGAGCTAAAAATTCAGCTGAAAAAACTTCATGTACAGTATAATGGGATGACGTGACAAATTGTCAACGCCCTATCACCATCAAGGCCACTATAGATGGAGGCCTTTATGTAAATTCAGGTAAATAAAATTGGTAAGCGTGTTTTTAAGGACCAAAGGCTGGCTGGCAAGTAATTATCAAAAGAAGGCACCAAACTGGGAAGGCTATGTAGCACCATCAAATGTGCGGAATAATCAGAGTGCTAAATATCACAAAGGATGCCAATACGAGAACAGAAATGCATAAGGCGAACGATATCAAAAGTATCCTATTCACCAAGAATTCTATCGAAAACAAGCGACTATGAGGGACAGTCGGAAAACAAGACTCGCGCTCATCCTGGAAGTCAGGACATTCAACAAGGATATGCCAACCATGAGAGGGACAATGCAATTAGGACAATAAGGAGCATGGTGGTGCTTCATTAAGTGACCTTGAGTTAAGCGTGGATGGCCAATACGCAACCTCGCCAGAGCCGTTTCCCATCGCCGGTTACGATGGTAGGAGGACGGCCATGAGGACACACTACTCTTAACTACTGCTGTGCCAAACAACAAATTTCATTTTGAGAGTTGTGCGTTTTTTTTTTTTTACTTAGGCTATATTTTAATGTTTTTTAATGTTTTCATCACTATTTGTGTTTTGAAATTAAAATAGTTGAGTTTGGAAACATTTTGACATTAACTTTACCTGAACATTTATAAAAACAACAAAAATTATGTCCTTAACAATTGCACTATGAAGATTTTGCCACAAACAGGTGTGCAGTGCAGGGGTTAAACAGCCCACGGATGCATGGGGTTCACATCACTTTCCTCAGGGTTCTTGTAAACAGATGTCATTTTTTTTTTAAATCGTGGGACAACATTCCCAGGTGCGAGATCCTCAGTACTGAGCGATCCACCAAGGCTAGCACACGCAGCACAAGCTCACAGCATTGTTGTTAAGCTTGTGACCACAGCATCGCCTAAAAAATGCCAAAAATATATGTACTGTAACTGGTATTATTTAGTGATGATAGTGTTACAGAAGATCCCTGACTGATATAAATGACCAGAATTCTGATAATAGCAGGATTGTTGTGATAATTTGTGCTGTCCTGAGGAAGAAGTAATGTTGAGGGTGGGAGAACTGTAGCATAGTTTACCAAATCTGTGTGGCCACCTGCTGCTCTTTGCACTTACTATACAAGCTTAGTGGTTCGCTATGGTGAACAAAACATGCAGATACTTATACATAACGTCTGTATATAGTGAATAAAAGGAAAAACAGTATGGTGGGAGGAGAATGTGTGCAAGTCAGGTGAGATGGAGGGAGTGGCGGGCTGTCTGGTGTGTAATTACCTAAGTGTAATTACCTAAGTGTAGTTACAGGATGAGAGCTACGCTCGTGGTGTCCCGTCTTCCCAGCACTCTTTGTCATACTGTATAACGCTTTGAAACTACTGACGGTCTTGGCCTCCACCACCTTCTCACTTAACTTGTTCCAACCGTCTACCACTCTATTTGCGAAGGATAAAACTCTTGTTGTGAGATAAGATAACGTTAAGCCAGTGGAATTGTGTAGCACTTGCAAGGAATAAAAAAAGGGTGCAGAAGTTTGTAACGAGACTCGTCCCAGAGCTGCGAGGAATAAGGTACAAAGACAGACTGAAGGAACTAAACCTGACGACCAGTGTGGTGGCCACTCCTTGCTGCCTTTTGACTCAGCATACCAACTTAGTGGTTCGTTATGGTGAACAAAAATGTACAGATAGATACTTATATATAATGTGTATATATAGTGTAATAACACCAAAAGGAGTATTGGAAGAAGCCATTTTGTTGAGGGAGGTTATCTATCTTGAGGTTATCTTGAGATTCAAATTCAAATATTTATTCAGGTAAAGTACATACATACAAGGTGAGATACTAAACGTTGATGGATTTATAGATAGAGCTAGTACATACAATGCTTAAAGCCACTATTATGCAAAGTGTTTCAGGCAGGAAAAACACTTAAGACTAAAACTTAATACTAATTGAGATTAAAGTATAAATTGTGTTGAGAAAATAAAAAAAGGAGGGGGAACATGGCAGAAAAATAGTAAAAATACAATTTGGTCAACAAACAGCATTGTGCTGTTTGCAGAGTTTGTCTTTTGTTTTTCCAGGCAGGGGTCTGCCTGGTGTGGCAGTAGGACCTCTTGTAGAATTTTGGTGGCCCTCCACTAGGTCCCGGTGCTTGCACACGTCGCAGAGATTCAGCTTTTAGTTGTTTGCTTGGTAGCGCTGGGATAACCGGTTAGCAGTACCTCGCCTGGGCTTCCCTTAGCAGTCAGCCTAAGGGCCCTGGAAACCCCCAATGGTGCTCAATGGTCCAATGCAGGAGACCTTGGGGAGGGCTGGGGTATGCATGCTGTGCAGCTCAAAGTGATAAGCACAAGACAAAGTTCAAGAAGGTTCAAAAGTATATTTACCTGAATTTACCCGAGGGTCACTAATACTAGAGCCCTTAACGAGGACAGGAAACTGGCGGCTTATCAAAGGTCCCCCCCTCCCCCCCATTTGCCCGGATGATCTTTTCTATCTGTATTTTAAAACCCAGCAGAGTTTTGGCATTTACTATTCAGGTGGTTCAGATATTTACAGATAGAATATGTCTCCAAATTTACTACAGGTATTTGGAGTTCACTAGTATGTGCCACCTGACTCCCAGAAGTACGAGGCAAGAGTTCCGAGGAAAAATTGCATGAATTGAACCTCACTTCACTGGAAGGGAAAATAATAGGGTGGATAAAAACTATTTTGTCTTTAAGAGATTATTTTGCACAGGTGGTACTCACACAAGGGGACACAGGTGGAAACTGAGTACCAAAATGAGCCACACACACATTAGAAAAAATTTTGTCAATGTCACGATAGTTAACAAATTGAATGCACTTGGAAGTGATGTTGTGGAGGTAGATTCTATACACAGTTTCAAATTTAAATATGAGAGAGTCCAATAGGCTCAGGAATCTGCAAGTCAGTTGATTAACAGTTAAGAAGCAGGACTGAAGAGCCAAAGCTTGCAAACACAATCAAATGAGAAAACAACTGTGTTATAACCATATTTACATAAATTGTATAAAAACAGAGCAATAATAATTCAACATGCAGTACTGTATGATGATAACTCGTACAACAAATGCGCAGTTAGACAAACTAACACATTCTAGTTTCATGAAATTCTGATGGTTTGTTTTCATTGTTTGAGGGAAGTTACTTTGGTACTTTTGGGGCTGAAGTATAGTTTTTAACCATCCAGAAGTCTGTTTTGGTTCACCAAACTTTCTGAGTGCTTCCCTGGTGGTGGCAATCATGATTAACTTTAAATGTAAAGTATTCATAGGTAATCTCTCTCTGCGCCTCTGAGGAGGCCAGGCTCTAGCTCGTGGTCCCAGTAGTCAACTCTGCGACTGATGGCACCTAGTGGTATGGCACTGATCAGTGTATGATAGCTTCAGGGAAGCCAACAGAATTCATCCAGAAAGGTACCCCTACTAGGGATACTTACTTGATTATATAGCGTATAACAATGAGAGAAAATTCCTATCCATATTTAAGTCTTCCTGTACCAGTGTATTCCAAATCCTAGAGAAGATTATAGACTTGCTATATCACACAATATAGCTAAACAAATGATTGACTGAAAGCAATAAAATCAAAACACCAGAGCTCCTGTTCAACTTACAACATGCAGTCCATGAGAGAATTCAAGGCCTGTGATGTATTTCTCCCTTTGTGAATAACCCAAAAACGGCTTGGCGAGTACACTTCTCCAACCACCAAATCCACCATCTGTCCAACTAATAAGAGAGACTTCTCTTCTAATGTTTTATACGAGTCATGAACACCTGCAACATGCATGGGGCAAGACAATGGTTCACCCTGGAATTAGAGAACAACTGTAAACAATTACACAAATGTCCGCATTGTATAAACATAGAGGTAGTCAATTAGCCTACAAACATTAATAACTGTTCATAGTACTTTATTACATCATAAACACACTGTACATTAACATAAAAATTTGCTCAAAATGCAATGTATAATGCATATTGCATCAGTGGAATGCTAGTGTATTAAATTAACATACAGGCACTTGTGAAAAGTTAAATAATAACTACCTGGTTTGAAATGTGTGGAAAAATGGAAGTATTAGCCAGTATAATGATCTTTCCATCCCAATAACGAATGCTGATCACTTCTGGATGACACTTTAAAAGGGCTTCAAGAGTTTTATAACCATAGGTTTCAGGATTCAAGTCATCTAGTGTAGCTCCATAAAATCCCTAAACAGAAAAAAATATTTTAGTACTATACAATCAAACTTCAAAATCAATAAATTTCCAACTGGCAAAAGGAATTCAATTACAGTAATTTACATTTGTAAATTACGGAGCATTAAACTTTTTATGCAAGCAATTTAATTCAAAATGTAAATTTTGAATGTGTTAATACTCCTAGTTTCAGTATCATGCAGAACAACTGTGGAAGCATTATGACCATGTACTTTTCTGTGGGGAAGCCCAGTCACCTCCCTGAAGCTATCATACTGATAACGTGCCATACTACTTTGAGTCATCAGTTACGGAGGTCTTTTTGCCTACCGAGGACCACGAGCCAGAACTTGGCCCCCCCTAAGAGAGGCATGGGAACAATAGCTCAAATCAAAATCAAAATAGTTTATTCAGGTAAAAGTACATACATAGAAGATAAGTTAAAAATGATGTTGGATTTATAGATAGAGCTAGTACAAACAATACCTAAAGCCCCATTCATTCTTTATATTTAAAGTCTATCATCTCTGCCATCATCCATGAAAGACACCCAGAAAGGCAGGTATTTTAAAACAAACCATTGCATGGTTTAACACATGCCCACAAAAATGTCAAAAAGAGCTCCCCCCCAAAAGAAAACATCCAAAACTTCATTAAACCAGATTCACACTAGTTAGTTCCACCCACCCCTCCTTGTTTGGGGGGGGGGGACAGGTGGGAGCTGGCCCAACTGACATCAGTTCTAGTATGATGTAAAACCACCGACCAGAGGGAGGAAGGATGTCAGGGAGCTGCCTTCGGGCTAACTTAAAGTTATGGTGCATGTCCATGACTGGTAGACTGGACCACTAGTGGTAGAACAATCCACCCACCAACACTTCAACAGAACTGGTTGGTCAGGGAAATTGGCTGTGGGTTGGGGTTAGGCCACCTGATGGTGAATATTGGTACCTACAAGGGATTCACTAATTTGAGTGAATCCCTTGTCTCAAGTGAATCCTTAGCAGAGTTCACTGGAGAGTTATTTCAGCCCGTCCTCGCATACAAAGATCCAAAGATCCAAACTCATTATTAATCCAGCCACCATACCACCCGTTTATGAATGAAGAGCGGTTTACACACAACTCACAACTGATGACGTCCGAACACTTCCAGAACAAGTGCTTCACTCATGTCCTCTGTTCAAACCACAATTCTATAAATGCTTCACCCAAGTACTTCAAATATAAATAATCACCAACAGAACCTAAACATCTAACCTAACCTATGCCTACCTATACAGTATATAGAATTTTTACGTATACAGTATTAATATTAATTTATATATGAGAACAAACCAATGTTTAATACACAGTATGTTAAAATCGATGAATGCATCTGGGAAGGACGGCCGTTGCTTTAAACAGCCTAGTGTGAGAACAGGTCGGTTATTTAGTGGGTTCCGAGGCTTCCATTCCTATGAACCTTGCAGTAGTCTGCAAAGCTTCACTGACTTTCTAGAAGCTTTCCCAATGGGGTGGCAGAATGTCACTCACATTCTGCATGAGGGAGCCAGGTTCTGGCTCCAGTCCCAGGTAGTCCAAATAGAACTCCGAATGACTGATGTGACCTAGTAGTAGTAATTTCAGCAAAATGTCTTCAGGGAAAAACTACCAAGGGACTCCTCCAAAAATGCAACATGAGCTGAATGTTATGAAATACTTTTTCTGTTTTGGCCTCAGTTGCTCCAGGAGCTAATTACTGATACACACATGCCCCACACTCAATTTAAAAACTTACAAAACCTGAAAGTTTTTAAACTGTCAAATCACAAATTACTACATATGGAAGACTACTAAATCTTCCTCTGACACACAAAACTGACATTTGTGGATTGTAAAAATATCATTTGTATATTTTAAATTTGTACTTAAAAGTTACTGTACTTGCGAGATATTATTTGATCTAAAATTTTATGCACTAAAGACAAAGAAGAGACTACTAAAGCTTACCCTATAAGCTCCTATAAGCTCATCTGTAGAAAGACCATCGGGAAACTCCTCCAACAGCTTCTTTAATCGTTCAATGCACTCTTGGTCTAATTTTCGACGAATTCCATTAACTGGGGAGACTACAAACAAAATACAATTTTTTAGAACAATATGGATATTAAAGAAATTGAGAAATAAAAAGATGCCAATCAAATGTATAATATGTAAATAATACCTTTAATAAAGCTATTGTATAAATGAACTTATCATATATCAGCAGAAAGTATAATTAAGAAAATGGGATGTCCCTAGAAGTTTCCTGCGAGCCAAATAAATTTTTTTAAATATTAAAATCTAAAGTTTATCGTTATGCACAGTTAAATCAGAGATTATGAGACTAATAAATAAAACAAACTTATTTATAAACAATTTCATTTATAACAAATACAGAGAAACAGATTACAATATGTGGATACAAAGTAGGTACAGTACAGTTATTGTATTGGCCCATATGAGGTGCCTCATATGGGCCAATAGGGCTTCTGCAGTTGCCTTCATTTTTATGTTCTTATGATGTGACTTTTAGTATAACTTCAGAGCGCCACTGGGTGCTCCCCCAAAAAACTGTAGTTTCTAAATATCAATTAAAATGTTAATCAAACAATTAAAATATGTTAACTTACTTCTCATTTATTTTTTAGTATTACCCCATTAAACTTACAAATAAAAATCCTGATAATCTTTACATTATGCTTGAACCGTATTAATGGCTTCATATAATGTGCATTTCATACCCATGAATTCTCCCCTGTATCATGTATTAAATCTATGTACATTTTTATAATTATCATTACTAAAAATTTCCAATGATATTCCTTACCTTCTTTACTCTCAGAATCCATAAAAACCTTGTAATTAGAATCACACACAAAGTGTTTGTCTCCTTGCCGGATTACACGGAAAATTTCAGCAAAACTTGATAGAAGGTCTGGGATCGAATTAAACCCCAACTCATTCAAATTCAACTTCCTACCAGCTTTAATCTGCAAAGAATAAGAACCAACATATGACACTGTTGTAATGAGCTGTTGCTCACTAGTCAAAATTAAAGCAAATGATTGAATTTAACAAGTGTCTGAATTATTGCTTTTATCTGTTAAACAATTTAATAATTAACATACAACTTTTAATTAAGAGACCTGGTGGGGGGAGATATAATTACCTAATTGTAATTACCTACTAATAACAGAGCACATAGCTGCTCTGTTATGTTGGTATGTGCATATTGCACTCTTGTAGTTTATGTCACTTTTTTACCATTCTCTATGCAAGTGCTATTTAAAATGTTTTAATGACATGAATTTCTACAATTTAATAATAATAATAATAATAATTATAACAATAACAACAATAGTAATAAACAGAGAAATCACATTATTGTGATATATCAACGAACAAATCCACAGGAGCAGTGACGAGGGTTCGAACCTAAGCGCTGGGTGTTCCCAAGAATGCTCTAGTCAACTGCAATTCTTTTGACCACGTCATGGCGCAGTCGACTAGTGTGCGTCTGGGAATACGCAGCGCATAGGTTCAAACCCTCATTATGGCTCGTGTGGATTTGTTCAATAATAGTAATAACAATACACAGAGAAATCACAGTAACAGGATATGAATCAATGAGAAAATCCGCAAGATGATGAGGATTCGAACCTATGCACTGGGTATTCCCAGGCACATGCTATCACAGCCTCACTTAGCCAGTAACCAGGATCTTCACTTCTTACACAGTATATGGGGGGCCTTAGTGCCTCTTCTTAGTAGATCCCACCCAGAGTCATTGGTAAGCTATCAAGAACTGGCAATAATAATTATTCGTGAAAGGAAAAAGGGGTAAACAATACAAAACTGTACCTTCACCAAGTGTACTTCTTAAATATATATATCTACATATGTACATAACATCACTGAAGTGTCACTTTCACACAAGGACACTAATACAATAAATTCTGCAATCATCTTTTCCCTGCAAGTCCATTTGATCTTCTGTTATACATCACTCAAGTTCTATGGTCCTCACACCAGCGAGTTCACCTTATTTGGTATAACATAGGCCAGTTCTACACAGTATCGTCACGGTGTCCAAAACACCACTTCTACTCTCCAGCAACACGCTGGCCGAACTCCATACAGGCTTACAACAAGCCTTAACAGACAGCCAGAACTACTTCCATCTCTTAACTCAATCTGGCCATCCCAGGGTACATCAGTCCACTCAACAATACTTTGCTAAGTATCTCCAGACAACTCACTGTCTACACCAACTCAGCCACTTGTTCCTGCTGGAACACATCTTGAGTTCATGACTGCCCTGGGTGAACTGATTCCTGTTGGCCAAGATACTCTCTACATTACTTTTGTGGACAAATATGTGAATAGTAAGACAAACTACATTGGGATCAAATACGATTACAAACTTCCACCGGGTAATAGAAAATGTGGGTCGGGGGGAGGGGGTGCGCTCAACAGATGGCACTGTCATTGTCACACCTTCCTCAACAGATGGCACTGTCATTGTCACAACTTCCTCAACAGATGGCATTGTCATAACTCCCTCAACAGATGGCATTGTCATTGTCACACCTCCGCTCAACAGATGGCGTTGATATCGTCATACTCGCTCTTAACGACTAGGCCACAACATGATCAAAAGAATTGCAACCTGGGGTTCTGCTGATATCGTGGGCCATGACTAGGCCATGTCATGATCAAGTAATTTGCAACGTGCATCAGGCAATACCAAGAGCATATGTTCGAATCCTTGTCACTGCTCTTGTGGATTTTCTCAGTAATAATAACAATAATACAGAAAAAACACACTAACGCGAAGTATCAATGAGAAAATCCACAGGAGCCATGAAAAGGATTTGAACCTTTGCACTGGGTATTCCTAGGCACACTCCCCAGACAAGTAGGCCACGACATTTTAAAAGGATTGCAAGCTGGGGTTCTAGGGTTCTACTGAACACACGAGGGTTCCCAAGGCTTCCACATGACAGTCAGAGTGCATGGGGGATTTGTGTGAAGCCCTGGTTAGAAGGAGCAGGAGAAGGGACAGGAGGATGAGCATGAGCAGGGGCAGCAGCATCAGGGGCAGCAGCAGCAGGAGGAGCATCAGGGGCAGCAGAAGGAGCAGGAGCATCAGGATCAGCAGCATCAGGAACAGCATCAGAAGCAGGAGCAGCAGGAGCTGCAGGAGCAGCAAGAGCAGCAGGAGCAGCAGCAGCAACAGAAACAGGAGCAGAAACAGGAGCAGCAGCAGAAACAGGAGCAGCAGCAGCAACAGGAGCAGCAGCAGCAAAAGGAGCAGGAGCAGCAGCAAGCAAGCAAGCAAGCAAAGCAGGAAAACAAGCAAATTATTATAAGTATATTACCTATGTCCTCATGCTTTCAATTAAAACGTCAGCCTGACATTATATCCATAAGTCAATCACTTAAAACCAATGCTGGGAACATTAATGAAATTCCATCTATGATATATAAGAGTGCTGCCCCTGCTGTTGCACTACCCATAGTTCTGCTATTCAACATATCTCTTGAGTCATACTTTTCCTGATCTCCTTAAAAAAGCAAGAGTGATGCCAGTTCATAAAAGAGGTGAGACAGCTGACAAACAATTACAAACCAATATTAAATCTACCAATCCTTTCAAAAATATTTGAACAAATTATTTACAGCACTATTCCTACTTTATAAAACTCGACATACCAAGTCCCTGCCAGATTGGCTTCTGTTCAAAAGAGTACCAATGATGCAATTATTAGTCTGCTTGACAATCTACAGAGCCCTTGACAAAAATGAGTTGCCAATTGGCCTCTTCACTGACCTGCAAAAGGCTTTTGATACTGTAAACCATATATACCTTTTACTTAAACTTCACCACTATGGTATTCAAGGCCTTGCTCTGGACTACAGTTTTTTCTTTCTTATCTCAGTGACAGATACCAATATGTAGTCATCAATAGCATAACCTTCCCCACTTTACCATTGATAGTAGGAGTGCCAAAGAACAGCATCTTGGGACCTCGCCTATTACTTGTATACATCAATGATTTGTTAAATGTTTCTAGCATTCTTAAACCTATACTATTTGCTGATGATCCTACCTTTGTCTATTCTGACCCCAACCCCCCACACACTAAATAAGCACTAATGATGCACTTATTAGTATGATTAACTTGATACATGCAGCTCTTGATAAAAATCAGTTCCCTGTTGGGTTATTTGTTGACCTACGTAAGGCTTTTGACACTGTCAACCACCAAAACCTCCTCCTTAAATTACATCATTATGGAGTCAGAGGTCACTCCCTCCAATATCTTCAGTCTTACCTTACTGACAGGTTCCAGTATGTTTGTGAATAATTCCATTTCTCCCACCCTACCCATCAACACTGGTGTTCCTCAGGGCAGCATACTTGGCCCTACCCTCTTTCTCATATACATTATGACCTTCCACATGCCTCTCAACACCTCAAACCAATTCTATTTGCTAATGACACAACCTTCATTTTCTCCAGTCCTGGCCCTCTTTCTCTAAATATCAGTGAATACTGAACTAAATAAAGTCCATCTTTGGCTAACTGCTAACAAACTCACCCTTAACATTGACAAAACTTAATATATTTTGTTTGGTAATAAATCCTCAAATCAAATTAATCTAAGAATAAACAATATTTAAATTAGTAATAAAGTAGCCCTCGGTACCCTTACTCAAATCTCTGAATATGTTAGATATTAGGTCACTGCACATCCTCTCATGTGTACTCTATATATTTAACACTCTGAATTGTTATGTCAATCCTGACCTTAAAAGCTTCTTAGAAGGTTGTAACAGACCCCATGGGCACCACCCCAGAAACAAATACCTTTTTAATATTCCAAGAGTACGACTTAATCAAACTAGAAATGCTCTACAAATCAAGGGACCCAGAATGTGTAATGACCTTCCCAATCATGTTAAAGACTGTACCTCTCTCAACCAGTTTAAGATCAAAACAAAGTACTACCTAATTAAAACTCCATGTAACCTACCTTACCCCTAAATGTCAACCCATGTCTTGTTACTTTAAACAATGTCTTACTATTTTAAACAATGTCTTACTATTTTTAAACAATGCTGTTTATTGACCAAATTGTATATTTGCTATTTTCTGCCATGTTCCCCCCCTTTTTTACTTTTTATTTTTTCAACACTATGTATACTTAATGTCAATTAGTATTAAGTTTTAGTCCAAGTGTTCCCCCCCCCCCACACCTTGCCCAAAAAGCTACGCGTACTAGTGGCTTTAGGTATTGTATGTACTGTACTAGCTTTTTCTTTCAATCCAACATTATGTTTGTAACTCATCCGAAATGTATGTACCTGTCCTAAATAAAGAATCTGAATCTGAAGTAGATGGCAAATTCTTTAGTGTTCTCATCGATAACAAGCTGAATTTCCAGGGACACATTCTAAATATATAAAAAAAACAGTGTTGAATGTAATGAAACGCCATTTTCTGGGTGAGACCCGGAGGCTCCCTAGCAACCCTCCCTTCCCCTGGTCAGAGGTTGCAATCCCCAACACACATCCCCAGTATCAAAACTGCAGCAAAATGTCTTCCTCATAACATCCTGACACAGTGTAACATTTACCTCTACCACATAGTGAACATGGCGAAGGTGGGGCCCCTTGATTGACTCAAGCATGAGTTGGACATGCATATGAGTGGGACCAGATGAGTATAATAGGAGCTGCCTCGTATGGGCCAATAGGCCTTCACCTTTGGTGCTATGTTCTGACATTCGTATCCAAAAACCACGAACCAGCGCCTGGATGAAAAAGACGCCAAACCACATAAACTCACCTGCAGAACGTAGGCACGAACGTGTCACGACACAACGTAGCCGAGAAGATACCGGGAGCACCGCCAGAGGAAGAAGGCCAGAGCCGCACCTGCAGGAGAAGAGTAGGGTAGAGGCGAATTAGGCGCCCCAAACAC